GGCACAACGAAACTACTACAGCCTTAAAACGTACTCTTATTTCCAATCTACAAGAGGAAGCGAAGGATAACGCAAACATTATTACCAAACCTCGAAAGCCCAAAGAATCTTTAGAATCTTCACGAATTCAGCCCGTCAACGATCGAATCTCCAACCATTCGAGCACACCCGCGATCATTACCGACTAAATTAAAAAAGAAAAGAAAAAAAGACGAAGAAGCGAGAAGAAAGGAAAAGAAAAAATCATTTCTCGAAAAGTTTCGAGCAGGACGAATTCAGAGATCGGTAACGATCGTGGGGCAAATGATCCACGGAGGATTCAGCAGCCTCCGGGAGGGACACCGCGGGCGGTCCACGATCGGGTAAGAACGAGGAGGAAGGCGCTAGGATGACGGAAAAGGAGGGTCGCCTCTCCAGTGGACGTTGTACCACGCGAAAGAGAAACAGAGATAGGCAGACTATGAGGGAAGGCGAGGAGAGAGGAATCTTTTACGGATCGACTACCAGAACGATGAAATCGGTGACGGAGAAAGGGGCGGACGTAGGCGGTCATTTGTTGCTGTTTATTAATTCGAGGCGAGGCGAGATACGTCCACTTTGTGCGGTTCGGTTGCTCGTTTCGCCCACGCATAAATTTCTCTCTATGTGTTTCTCTCTCCCCGCAATAACGCGCGCACGTAGGCCACAATGGCGCGCGCGTCCGCCCGATGATAATGCAGGACATCGTAAATAAAATATGCCCCGATGGCCTGGCGGTAGGTGGTGGAGGAACGAAGCGGGGGAAGGACCTGGTCGAAATTCCGGAACGAAGCTTTTTCGTAGCGGCGAATCGGTGATTCGTGGATCAACGACGAACAACCGGACGAGGGCCGAAAAGCATCGTAAAGGCGGTAATAAAAGCGCTGCTACTAACATGTCGCTCGCGCGGCTTTTTATTGGCCAGGAAGGACAAGACGTTACCTCCGCCCGGATCTGGCCAGGACATTGTTTTGAAAGGGAAGACACCGTGTTCTCTTGTACGTCTCGCGAACTCGCCTCTGCAATAGGCCCGTGTAACGTTGTAACGAGCTTTTCAACGATTTGCAAAGTTCGTGGCACGTTCGATTGCTTGGATGCACAAGAACGGTGATTGCGAACTATAGTGCGGTAGGAATCGATTGTAACTGTGATTTAGGGTACAATGTTAAAAACGCTGTGCGGTAAATATAGGTAGAAAGCTTGTAACGCTGATTTTGATTCTGAGTATACGATCCTTTTCGCATTTTAAAGGCTTCTGTATTGTTGGAACGGAGAATAGAAGAAAGCAAGAGAATTCTTCATTGACGAAGCATTAATCGATATCCCGTGTATCGCAATTAACGCGTTAAGAGCAGCCATTTAGAGAAGTAAAATTTTCAGAAACGAAATAGTACAGATTTTAATAAAATATTAAATATTACTTGTGTAATATCGAAAACGTATTATTCGAAATATGGTAGCACCTTCAACCTCGACCGATTATTACGGATGAGGTGTGTTACGTGTTCGATAATAGCCAGTGCATACACGGCAGATAACCCAACTAAAAGAGTTATCGCTAAAAAAACTACCTGTTTGATATCGTACATGTTGAACCAAGCGTCGTACGTACTTGTATGTATATCGCAGCTGACAAATTAATATCGCTGGTTCGACTCGTCCGGAATCAACGCTGCAGAGCCCTTATCGCGATCGATCGAACAGCGTCGAATTAATTTCGGTAGCACCTGTATCGATTATAAGAGAACGTTCTTTTTCTCTGTCTGTCCGTGATCACGCTCGGAGGCAACATTAAAAATAACCACGGTATCGGCCCTCGTGCAACGAACCACCCACGTCTCTCGGTCTCACATTACGATCGCGTATCTCTTTTAATACGGTGCTTCGCCGAGAGGGCATTATGCGAAATTTTTTGAATTTTCAACGAACGACGCCGCTATTGACGAAAATAACCACGCTTACCCTACCCTTTACCATCCGTTCCATCGGTAACCGAAGATCTGACCAGCGTGCAAATCACATTTATTATGCGAAAAATAGAGTGGTTCGTCCACAAGCTTCGTCCGAATATCACAATGAGTTTTACCAGTGCTGATTATCGCGATCTCGTAAAGAAAACTGGAATGAACAAGACATGGGATTGTTCTCTATGCTGATATCGATTTCGATTGCTCTTGAACGCTACTTTTGTAATTAGATCACTGGTATGCTTCGAGGAAGAATACGGATTATAGATATCGTTTTTCAAGAAGAATGTGGTTTCGTAATTTTTTGTTGCAACGAATGACACGACACGTTAAGGAATTATTAAGGAATATTATTCCTTTTGTTACGAATTGTCCTTTATGTCACGTATTAATGTTAGTGGAGTGTTTAAAGCAGTAAGGTATATTTACGATCGGGATACGTTTATTATCGAAGTCTTTATGAAGGTTAGGGATAGATAACGATTTATTATGAAAACTACAGGGACTAGTTACGGCATAAATCCATTAAATTAGCACTTGATTCTCCAATTGCGAAGAAAATTCGTAGATATCCTTGTCGAAGGAAAATGATTATTGATTTTGTTAAATGCACGTTAACATTCATAAACTGGAAGAATGGAATCTTTTTGGCTGTGTGCGTACTTGTGTGTTTCTTTTACGCATATAAACATTCATAGGATCGAAATTGTCACAAATTTATTCTATACAAATAGAAAAATTGTATCTAGTCAATGAAACAATTCTTTGATTTTCTTGCAACAATTTGAAATTGTAACGAAGCAATCATACCAATTTATCAGACAAGATATCATTATACGTAGATATGTAGCTCATTTGTTCATTAGTCTACTATCTTATTGAAGAATAATAAACACCGTAAGCATACAGTTTGCAGCGAATAGCAAGACTATAAAGAAGGAGGTCAGCTATACATTACATCCCTCACGATGACGAATTTGACCTTAAGCGACCATTTAATTTTGGACGAAGAACAATACACGAAGCTGAGCAAATATTTTTACATCAATACAGTAAGATAAAATAATACACCTTCGAACTCATCAGCTTTCGTTATTGAATCAGAGATCAAAGAAGTTTCTCGAAATTAATCTCCAAACTTCTCTAAGCTGCCATTTTATAATAGAGATACGTAGGATTATCTACCCAACTATGCTAAAAGCAAAAAGTAAGAAAGCTAATTACATCGTTTTATTACACCATGGAACGCAATAATAGGACAAATATCTTTAACCCAACACTGTCAGTTCGATATTGTTTGAGACTGTATCATACCTGCCATTTTCTCTTCCATCGAATCAGTTTCTTCACAAAAATTTACTCAAGACGAATTTAACTTAAAAAATCCTTCGAAAATTCCAAGAAACCACGAGAGAAAAGAGAATAATCGTAACCTAAAGTCGATCGAGACGTTTCGATTGGAGTACCGGAGACGGATAACAAGATCGAAGCTCGAGGCTGGTTCCATGCCCGCGGAGAGACATCGATGGTTATTATGAGCAACACCATGGGGACCCGTAATATAGCCGAGGCGTTGCTGTAGGTCCGCCGCTTCTCTCCGCACGCACACCAACCGTGGACACTCTCCTAACGGCTGTAAAAAATGATTCTCGCGGCGAAAGACATGTAAATTTATGAAGGCCCTCGAGGTCCCTCTTCTGCCTACGTCCCTGCCTCCGACACAGATGCATTGTTGCGCTAACAATTAATTAATGTCGCTTTAATTGTACCTGCACACCATGCTGGTCACACTTCCACTTTGTTTCGTTTCCTTTCGTCTCGCCTCGTCTTGCCTCGTGTCGTTTCTTCCTTCGTTGGGTTTGGTCCTCGGTCTTCTTTTGTCTTTGCATTCGGTCGAACGCACGAAATTATGCTGATCAGCCGGTGCCGTTTCGTCGTATTGTTCTTCCTCGAGGATACCTCGAGGTGAGCATTTCGAGAAGCGTGTCCCTTCTTCGTAGCCACATTGTTTCGTGGCGAGCGCATTGTGAACGCGTTGTGCACGGCGAGGCGGTATTTGCTAATGTGGGACACGTGGTATTGTTAAGCTGATTGATAATTGTTTTTTTAATTAGACCCCTCGGGGAACGAAACTCATTACGATTCCGATGAATCGTTTCTGGCGACGCGTGTCGACCGTTCGCCGGATGTGAAAGCGCTCGGAATTTTTCAAACCTGTGAAATTGCGAGTTTGAATCAGCGAGTTGGCTCGTTGTTCTTTTTACGTTTTGAAAATGTTATTTTTAACTCTGTAGTGAAGAGGTTTCAATGCTTCGTAAGTTTTGCGACCTTTTGTTATTGCAGATCTGTTTGCAACATAATGATGAAATTATAAAATAGCGGGCTTATTCATACTATTTATTAGTATTTCTTCGCACTACAAACGTGTAAATAAATTTGACAATGAATCTTCCAAATAAAAAACTGCAAAACAGCGATACAGAACATTTCTTAAATCATGTTCCTACGATTTTGCGACACATAAAAATTTACAGTTTCAAAGTCTTCTATTTCACTTGGGAAATTTACGTATTTCAATCTCAAGACAAAGAATTAATGGTCATATCCAAATCGATTACCTCGAACTTTGTTAAAAATTGCAACGAAAGCGCAGGCCAAAAGTATCGAACACGTTATTTCGATCCATCTGACTATAATCTCGTCACTCTAAACGTATGCAAGGTACAATGTATATCACTGGGCGATGATCGTTCGCCTGCAGCAAGCATTTCCGCGAACAATTTTTGCGCAGGATGTTGCGCTTATCGCGCGAGAATCTCGCCGGATGATCGGCGACGCGTTTAAGCTTCGGAGCGTCATAATCCAGTCGGTGAATTTCACACCTGCGCGATATGAGCATTAATGTTCCCAGGGTTTGTTATGTTTTTCACGTTACAAGCGTGTGTTCTTGTGTATTTTCGATGGTTGTATTGGTGCACGTGGTGTTCAACGTATGCTCGTATTTTTCTGTTACAGGATATAAGGGAGCGGAAGGAGCGTAGATGAGTTCTACTGTCTGCGTCCTCGGTAAGTCGTGAACAGCGAATATAAAGATAATATAAAATGTCTCACGACCGAGCGCACGGGGTCTTTATGACATGCACGTATTATCCGACCTGTACGGACTTTCATTTAACTAACGAGGCAGCGCCTTTTGAAATTTATAAATGTCGCGGTGTAACGTTACATTCCTTTCAAAATGATACGAGCCTCAGGAGTTGGCTTTAGTTATGAGCTGATCGGTTTTATTTTAACCAATTAACTTATAAATTATATCTATAGCTATTTCGATCGTCGGGGATAATCTTCTTTTCGAAAGATTTGTTGCTGCTTTGGTTTGGATAATTGAATCTGTAGGTACGAAACAAATTACGAGTGAAAATCAAACCGATGCATTCTACATTTAAATAACCACCTATCCTTAAAATTGTTTATAATATATTCGTAAAAAGATTCGACGCGTGTTCAAATATTTCTTAAACCGCTGTATCTCGACCAGATTGGTTAATCTTAAATTTCTCTTAACAAATAACAATTTCTCTTAATAAAGATGTCTTCTGATTAGAAAACGTACACGACAAACGTCGTTAAAAAAGACACAAAAATAATACGGAAAATTTCAGCGAAAAATTATATTCAGAGTGTCGACCACAAACCGTAACTACCCCCAATCGTATGCTCGGAACCGATAATCTCTACTGAACTTGCGAAGCGACATCGGGACAAATTTTCGAATGAAAACGATTCCTCGCGAGACTCCAAGCCAGCCCCGTATCACGAAGAAAGAAATACAGATTCGAGAGGAGAGTAAGAAAGAGACGCGAAAGACTGAGACGTGGCAGCAAACTATGGAAGAAGAAAAGAGGCGAAGGATGAAGGAGACAGTCCGGTTGCCGGACTACCTCTTCTTCCCCATAAATACGGATTTAGTCGCGCGGTTTACGAGCGAAAACGTGTCGAGCTTCGCGAGGCTGGCCGCGCCTAAATTATTAAAGTCGTAAACGATCGAAATCGTCGTTAAGCGGCGCGCGAAGAAACCCATCGGACCTGCCTCCGCGTCTCCACGACGACGACGATCATTTTTCCCGAGCGGCGTTTCATTGTTGGACCACGGCTAAGCGGAGCTCTGTTGGTCGCGTTGCACCGTCCACGACAATAAACGGGCTTACTCTTGAGCGAATACGCGCGACCAGCCGAGCCTACTCTTCTCGCGACCATGGTGACGTCCGAACCGAGCATAGATCAGACTGCAGGGTTATTGGCACCGGTAATCTCGAATGGCGCGAGTAATATCGCTCGATGAGTTGTTAACGCGAGGCGTTACGCGAATAAAATATTCCGCGTCGAGATCGCCGTCAGATTTATCGCCAACGCGTTCCACGCGCGGTTCGCCCACCAGAATTTCGACCCCGCGTGGATTCTCATCGTTCGCGCGTTCTGATTAGACACTGCGAATGTTTATTATATATACGTTTAAAAAATTACTTTTTCCCCCCAAAATAATTTATTTTTTTTGGGAATACGATCGAGTAAATGAAATTTCACCTGCTTGATGGGTCGTATTAACGAACATGTTTTCTTTTCCTCTTTCATCCAATAGCTAGATTCTATTTTTCTATTCTAATTTTTTCTTATCAGGGGCATTTTTCATCCGACCGTGTTCCTTCGGGAAGTACGTAGTTATTGCGATTCAAATAATTCGCGCGTTTTATTTGCACGCAACTCGAATTCATGCGAGTAAGTAAATCGCAGATGCTGGAATGCCACGTGTTTCGCGTTAAATATTCATCATAAATAATTAAACGCTGTTATCAGGAAATAGCATTTCCTTACGATTTCGAACATCCAGCGATAAAATAGGACGAATCGTAGAAATTTACAGTCGTTTATAGCATCATAAATTCTATCCGCTTTGGCTGGGTCTTTGATAGATATTTTAAGCAGAATGCCGCGATAAACACGTTTACTTCGCGGAAAATGCAACGAACGCTATTAAATCTACTGTAATTATTTTTCTATTTTTCGGCCGTGTTCTACTTCTTTCTCTCTCTATTTTTGCGCTATTGATTCAGAACTATGGGTAGAAAATATTCGATTAATAATAATCTATCGGTTCTCTCGTTGTTACTTTAAAATATCTTTCGGAATTTATTTAAAAACGGAGCTGTTTAAAGTAGGATCTTTAGAAATCGGAGTTTATCAAATCTAGAATAATTAAGAAACGGTAATCTTTATTCGATATTCTCTAATATATTCCTATATCAGACTTTTATTATATAATTAATTAGTTGGTGACGATAGGATATTATGGTTTGGAAATAAAATATCTTGCTTGTATCTATACATTTCGCTTCAAATATATAAAATCGTTCCTCTCAATATACTCTTTTACCTTCTTTTCAAACGATTTGACGAAATTTTTATCTCACGAAAAATCGTTTCGTCTGTCAACGAAGCGTCTTAAAAAATAAAGTATGCAAACGATCGACAATAAATAATGAACGTACGAATACTTACCATTAATTATCTTTACCACATATGCTTCGTTAATGATCTTATACGCAATTAATAATCCATGTTTTCTGCATTGCACAATATTGCTAGTTGCCTTCTGTCGCCTTATTTAGTTCATTAATTTCCGACTGAAAGGAAACGGGTGCATCGTTTCTCAGAAATAAATATCCTCGTACAGTGTCGCCGTAATGAAAGCAATTTCGTACAATCTCGTACGTAATTCCGTGTAATTTTCTGGCTTGTAATATTTTTGTCCTTTTTCCGTGGAATTTAGAGCACCGTTTATGGAAATTAAGAGGATTAAGGTTGCCACTGTACAACAGTTAATGATCTCTACAGGTACTCGCGTTTCTTGTCCACCGATAAGATTTTAATCGCGTCGATCCTCTAGTAGGTAACGAGCAAAACGTTCGTTCGAAGCTTCTTCTACTAATTAACATCGTGCCGCGTATAATTTTCTCGCGCCATTCTGCTCGCTTTGAAACACTGACTGTATCAAAATAGCAGGTACAACGCTTAATTAATCGGTGGAATTCGTGAAAAAGCAGGCAGAAGCATTTGTAAATATAGGTTCGAGAACTGGTCGTTTAGCAATATTTCTTCAAATTTATTTCATCAGAGGCTTCTCCGGATTAACTTCTGCTTACGAAATGTGATTCAAATGTAAATTCTTCATTCTGGTTCGAAATATTAAATTAACTCTTATTAATGGTATATATGATATAAATAATAGCGATATCAATGGTTACAAATAAAATATCCATTTTCAGAAAGTCTCTATTTCAAAATTTCCTATCATTGTTAAACGTTAAATGTCAATTTAAATTAAATGAAATTCGTGTTGGTTAAATAATTTGCAAGAAGATGTATGTGTAATTAATGTATAATAATAGGAATTATTCGTTTCTATGGAATATTATTCGTGTAAATTAATAAAATAAAATTCTAACTGAAATAATAACTGAACAAGTGTGTGAAAGGCAGCTTTAGCAGCATTATTTAATTTACTCAATTCTGTACCAGAACAAAATCGTATTCTTGGTAATAAAAATATTTCGTTATCTCGATTTTTTAAATACCGGTTGTCAAGCACGAGCAAATCGCGGAAGAACCGACTTAGTGTTGGTAATGTTAAAACCTCCGTGTACAATGTTATTAGCCAAACGTAGGCAGTACACTTAATATATTCTGTCTATCTGATCGAAACGCTTTAATTGCGAGGTGATTATCTGCCATTATCGAGTGACTAACGCCGGTTTTGTTGCTTAAAACACCAATTTACGTAATCAAGCTGAAGTCGAACGTTCATTAGAGACGGAAGTCAATAATGACGTAAAAGAAACGCGCAAATTTAGACAGGACAAGCATAATTATCGTTTTAATGAACCGTGTGGTACAGAGAAAAAAATTTTCGTGGAAGAAGATCAAAATGTCGAACCATGAACTTAACAAAAAATTAACGGCAGAGAAGATGAGAATTTCACTGTAACGTATTTGTTCATTATTACAATATGCGGCGCGATACTGATTTTGATATAAGAATGCGAAGTAAAAATCATGAAATTAAAGAAAAAAAATATAGAAAATAATAATTGGTGCAATCCACACGCGTAAAACTTTATGCGACACATTTAAGTTTCGCATAAAAGTCGTCTGTTAATAAATACATGAATCACGTACAATACGTTAAATTAAAAGGCAGAGAATAGCGATCATGTTACCAGCATTGTCTTGTAAAACTTCATACTTTTTTTTAAGTTGATCGCTAATCACATAGCTAGCTAACGAGTTTGAAAAGTCTGCAAGAAGTAGAGTTAATTAGTTCGACTTACGAGATTCTTGTTTAGTATATCTAGGTAGGGAAAATCCAACCAGGAGTGAACGTGTCAATAATCGATTTACTATTTAGTCATATGGAAATATTTGCAACAGAGCGGTATAATTTATATGTTAAACGATGTTATTCGTATCTTTAATACGACGGAAATAAGATCTGAATTTAAAGTACGTAGTTTAAACAACTAACGCTTTTCATGAAACAACGATTTATCGAAGACGCGTGTTCGTAAAAAGGATATCGTTTTTGGAAAGGAGAAAAAAGAAACGCGAATTCGACATGGATAAATGATATTGAAACGAACAAAATACGTGTCTATACGTGGGAAACGAGCAAACTGATTGTTAAATCGAGGATCACAAAGTGTTCGCAGTCACGGGGTCAGAATTTGATGAAGCACATTGATCACTCATCGGACGAACACTCATTTGACCACTTTTATTTCGGATGATCGCGCGAATGACCTGTGTGAAACTAATCCATCATCCGTTTGTATTAGCGATCAATCACGTCAAATGGCACGGTTTTGAAAGTTTGCACTGAAACCTGGATAAAATGTTCGCCGATGATAACGATCTTATACCGGCGAAATAAATCTTTCGATTAATGTAGCTTAATTGCGGTAAACGAGAATGTCGGTATAGAAATCTTGTATCACATTGATTTGTTAGAAGAA